TAGTTAAGCTTATGTTTGAAGATCTCTGTTTTCATATTAATTGATACTGCTAAAGTGGACCAAGGCGGAGAAGGAAAATGTAGAGGAAATTACTGGGGGAAAAAAAAACAAAACAAAAACCAAATTAAAAGTCTATTTGGGACAATGACATGCTAAAATTACGTAGAAAAACCATTTAAACGTTAATATCCTATTTGTATAGGAAATCGCACGATCTCGAGAAGGCTCGTGCAATTACAAGAGCTTTCAAAACATTACTCGTGTCTATTAATTTCCTTATAGTACACTCAACAAAATTACTCGACTCTGATTGGTCGAGAGGAGTACAATTATAGCGTTAATTGTACTCCGTAGGAGTACCAAATTAATTCGCTATGGCAACACGGCCAAAACAATGTCAAAACAATTATTTTCTATCATTTTGTACTTAAAAAGCATAAATAAAATTTTAAAGCCGTAAGAACTAATCTTTTTTATGCATTTCAGTTGCTCGATGGACTGAATAGACAAAGATGAACGGCATCGCTTCGCATCTTTTACTGAAATTTTGTTGAGTGAACTATAAACAAAAAATCGCACGATCTTCTCGTACAATTTGTAATTAATAGACACTCGTAATGTTTTGAAAGTTCTTTAATTGTACTCGCCTAAAGGCTCGTGCAATTACAAGAACTTCCAAAACATTACTCGTGTCTATTAATTTCCAAATTGTACTCGAGATCGTGCGATTTCCTATACAAATTGTACGAGAAGATCGTGCGATTTTTTGTTTATAGTTCACTCAACAAAATTTCAGTAAAAAATGCGAAGCGACGCCGTTCATCTTTGTCTATTTGGCGGCCGATTTCCAGTCCATCGTGCAACTGAAATGCATAAAAAGATTAGTTCTTACGGCTTTAAAATTTTATTTATGCTTTTTAAGTACAAAATGATAGAAAATAATTGTTTTGATATTGTTTTGGCCGTGTTGCCATAGCGACTTAATTCGGTACTCCTACGGAGTACAATTAACGCTATAATTGTACTCCTCTCGACCAATCAGAGTCGAGTAATTTTGTTGAGTGTACTATAAATTTAAATAGGTAGATTGATAGAAGTTTCGCCGGAAATTAAGATATAAGCGTTGGCACATTTATGGAACCTTAAAGTTTTGACGTATGCCGCCCCGAATCGAAATATGGCGACCAGTTCTCTGCACTGACTAGATACTGACTAGCCTCGTGTTTAATCTCGTACCAAGAGCATGCGTTTCTTATGGCCTGCGGCGAAGAACGAGGGCTCCGGCATAATCCATATTTTGGCGCATGCGCAATTTTAGGAAAGTGAGACATAACCCAATCTCGTACCCAGAGCCTGCGTTTCAACGTTTCAACGTTTCAAAGTACAAATTAAGGCAAAGTCAAAGTCAAAGAAAAATTAAAAGTAAAAATTAAAAATCTATAAAAATCTATTTATATAATATATATTTTTTAAATTTTTGGGAAATGAACATACAGGAATAAGAATGGACATGAATTAGATTGGATGAACGTACAGGAATAAGAATGGAC